TAAGTTAATGTTACCTCACTTTTTAAGAACTGCAGAAAAAGTAGTTACCCCCTTTCAAATGAAACTTGAAGTGCCGTACGATCTACGATGTTTTGTTATATGCTTTGTTTACAAATGATTATTTAATAGATTAGTTGAGTTATATATGAGGGTCTTAGAATTAAAGTGAATGAAGTCCAAAAATCACTTTTATGAGAAAATTTTATTTAAGAATAATATTTTCTGATTTGTTTTCAAACTAAATTATGTCTTAATTTTTCGTTGTCTCATAGATAAAAAAAATCTTAATAGGAGGGGAATATGTAAGTACAATGTTTAATTACACTAATTGTTTAGGAAATAATTTTATTTGAATTATAAAATATATTGATTTATACATTTTTTTGATCCATTTCGGTTCTGAAATATTTCTCGAATTAAGTGGATGAAATAAATTTAAATGAAATATTTATTTAATTTATATCACACTATTAATAATGATAAACTTACTATTATATAACTAATAATAATAAATACCGTTATGTGAATATCATATTTCGTCGTTCTGAGATATCATAAAAAGTGGAAAACTTCAACTGTGGTCCAGGTTTCCTTAACATTGTTTTAATAATTGTTTTTTAAACATCATTAGCCTTCATGGAGTTATAAATTATAACATAATAGTGTTATATTTGTATGAGACACATTTTACGAAATTGTATTTAGAAATATGTATTTTCATAATATTGCAAGATGTTACCGATATAAAATTCTGCCGTTGGTCTAACTTCTTTAGTTAAGTATTAGATGTTTATTTTCTGACTTATTTAGTTTCACGTTAATTTCTATTTGCATGGAATTTAAAATTGGAGTTTAAAAAGGGACGGCTAAAATTTATCTAAAGTTTACAATTGGTCAGTTTGGACTGGAGTTAAGGTTCAGGATTAAGGCACTCCAGATACCAGTGTAACGAGATATGCCCATAAAAAAAATTATTGTTCCATCTCATTTTCAACCATTTAACATCACCCCCATTTCTGTTTATTTTTGAATTCACTATCAGCAAATTTTATAGTGAATTCTAATAAAATTTTTCCTAATTGCGACATTTTATCTACTTATGTAAAATGAGAAAACAATTTAAGCACAAATTTTAAATACATATCTTACACTTATTGTGTTATATTTGCTTACAAAACATATTGCAGAAGTTAATCCTTAACACAGACAACCCTAAGAAACCATGAAATTACGTTCAGTAGGGCCCCACGTAAAATGCACAATTTGGGACAATTTTTGTGTTTTTCGATTTGAACCACTTTATGTCTGAGCCTCTCATATCTGTTTACCTAAATTATGATGTGTGATTAACTGATTACCTATGTAAATTACTTAAAAACGAAACTCTTTTTTCATAATCAATAAAAATCAGTAATATTTAATAAGTAATAACTAAAGGGGAGTGCTGTCACTTTAATGAATGTTCCTTTGATGTCCCTGTATAATTTTTTTTTTATTTTTAGTGACTTTTAACATGTTCGTGACGAATTATTCTAAAAATTGCTACACATCTTACTTAATCTTTATGTAGGTAAAACCTGATTTGGAGAATATAACATATTAAAAGCTTATTCACCTCTTCCTGAGCGTTGACGTCTTCATCTCAAAAAATAATTAAATAATCAAAAAATCTCTAATAAAACATTCGCCCTGGCCTAGAAAAGATAACACAAGTTGTGTTCAAAGAAAAGTTTTATGTAAACCTATTTTAAAGATTTTTTTTCTACTCCGTTGATATTATCAATGCCAATCTGAATGATATGTCCTGAACTTTTAGCGAGTTGTGAAGGACTTGTTTGTTATTGATACTGGACATGACACAAATTGAAGAAATAAGATCAAAATAATTTGCTTCATACGTACCTAGTACGAATTTATTTATTTTTTAATATTTTGACATTTTTTTGAGATGATATTAATTTGGACAAAAAATTTATCAGTTAGATAACAAACACTGATTAACTGATAGTTATTTAATTATTGATATTAAATGCCTTAAATCAATAAAAAAAATCTATTCAGGCGCACCATTTTCAATAATAATAATAATCTTGAGAACTTTTGACTTCTATATAGTCTTAAGTCATCACATCTTTAACAAAAGTGCAATTTTAGTCAATGAATTTTTAAAAAATAAAGGTGAAAAAACATGTTTTACTTATAATATTTAATTGTGATAACTTTGACAAATAAAATTCGTATGTTTCATTCAAAATTGCACATTGTTATAGAAAAAAAAATATCTACCTAGACATGGCAACAATGTCTACACTTAAAATAGTTTATATATATATAAAATAAAACACGCAAAGTGACTTTCACGTAGTTCTTAGTCACGATACTGTGTCATAAAATTTAACAATTATAAAATTCTACTTCTGTCATTTGGCTACCGTACCCAGCAACAAAAATATAACGAACTTCTATGTTATACTCGTGCTAAACTTACGGATGACCTGTTGTATCAGTATAACTGCTTACTGACAAATATAGTAGTAAATAGGTAGAGTTCCCTCAAACATATAAGGCGTTTATGACTTCACCCCAATTTCACTCCCATTATAATTCAATAGGCCGTCACAACCGGATGTCTTAAATCCGCTCACCGATACCTACCTGAAAAGACCTTTTCTGGTAAAAGCACAGGGCAGGACTGAGTTTTGCATTTACCGACAACTGCGGCTTTCGATTTTTCTATTTTAAGTAAAAACAAAGTCACTTTGTACTCAATCATTTTTTATTACAGCAAATTAGTTAGAATTTTGACATACACAACTATTTACTTATTAACTACTACTGCTTATTTATTGATCGAAATAGTCACTGTCATCATCACTCGACTCTTCTAAATTAACAGTTAACGGTTTTATCAACCGTGCCCTGTACTGGTATTTTCCTGAATTTATTCTTCAAGAAGGCACTGTGTTTTGTAGCTTCTGCTACAAACCGCATTTCTATTTACAAATATATGTTTTCGGAGCATCGGCAAAATTTTTTGCTACAATATTTCGAAAAGTATTTAAAAATAAATTGCTACAAAAATACTAATTAAATGGCCTATTATTATTAATTTTTATTTATTTGTCACTATTTAGTGTAAGACAATAATTTTTAAAAATTTTATTTATCTATGTATTTTTTATTAAAAAAATTAAGCTTGATTAACCTGTTTTTATAATTTGTAAATAAATTTAGTTGTGTTATTACACTTCTTTTCAATTTTTGGAGGATATGCAACTGCATATCTCTGCATATACCTATTAATAAAGTTACAGCATATTTGCATAAATTTCATGCATATTACATGATCATATTTCTCAAAATTTTGCTGCATACTTTTCGCTCTCTAGTCATGTATTATTTTTAATATAACAGCAATATGAATGTACCCTCTGGATCTGAAACAAAGGACGGTGACATCGTCAAAATTACTTGATTTATCAAAAAACTTTGTGGACCAGTATGAAAGTATGATTGCGATCGTACTTATTAAAGATTTTATGTTTTTTGCTTTCATTATCTTAATAATATTTTCAAATGTGCAGAATAATGATTAAATAATTAAGGTACGGAAGAAACGTTAAAAACAAAATTACTCTTAGTCCGGTCCTTCGCGTCTCGGCCGTCCCTGGCACGTGGCATGGTTTACATTTACTAAGCTTTATGAAGGGTCGGCTGTAAAGTACTTTAAACGTCAAAGCCATAAACGCCTTATAGGTTTGAGGAAACTATATATGTATATATACAGCCTGTTATTGAAAGGTACGTACAAAATAAAATCGGCAATTGGTCTCGAAGTATGGGTGCTAAAAGTTAAAAAAAGTTCAGGTAAAAGTGTTCTGCTTTTAGAGATAAAATTTATTAAAATTTATGTCCAAATTCGTTGTACGCCTCTGATAAAAAGATCATCTTTTGTTTCTATATAGCAACAGTTAGTCTTGACAAAAGTTTTATTGTTACAGTTGCTAGGATTTACTAAAATAAATTAATTTTACCTATTTATCCTTCAGTAGGGTCTAAAAAGATTGGATAAGGGTTAATTTTCCCCTTAAAATAAGTTTTTCCGACTTCTTAGACTTCGCGAAGAACTGTCCATTTTGTTGTACGTACCTTTCAATAACACCCTGTATACTATCGTAAATGAAAATGTTCGTTGTATTTACGAAGAAAATTTGCAACGAAAACTTTGTGCAGAAAGAGGTGTAGGTGGCTTTGGGGATTTTAATTTTTCTATTTAAATTTGAAAATGATATACATACCTACAGTATGTCCCCGGATTGAGTTCACAAGAGGAAAAAAAAAACTGTATTTTCTATTTTACAAAAAAATGACATAGGAATAACATTTTTTGCTGTATTCAAAACGAATAAATCTGCAATTAAAATGTTAATATTATCAGGCTGTGTCCTTAAAATCGAAAAAAACTAAAAGTAACGAAGAACTCAGAAATATGAAAAAATTAATTTTAAGAGTACCTACAGATCAGGAATATTGAGTTTTAATTGCAGATTTATTCGTTTTGAATTAAGGAAAAAATGTTATTCCTATGTCATTTCTTTGTAAAATAGAAAATACAGTTTTTTTTCCTCTTCTGAACTCAATCCAGGGACATACTGTACCTATATAAGTAGCCCAAAAGCTTAAGGTTATATGACCATCATAAAAGTAGTTGACCGCAAATAAATACCTACCCCTTTTGTGTGGTTCGCACTAAGCGTACCGACTGGCAATAAATCGCCTTCTAAACATTTCTTGCTTAAATAGATTTAGATATTTAGTAAACAAAACAACAGCCGGCCGAGCTGCAGTGGACACGTGATTTACCATCCTAAAACTTCTTCTGTTATAAACAACTTAACTTTGACACAATGGGATAATTTTACAACGGCCATATAACTTTGGGCTACTTTAGTCAGTTTGCAAATTTTGGTCTCCTTGTCTTTACCCAACTTGCTTATTACCTGAAGCCGGTCCTGAACAGAATACCTACGTAGTTACTTAAACGTAGCGTACAACGCGTTGTCCTACATTTTCATACGAATGGCTCATAATAATGGCGTCGGGTGACTTGGTCTGAAAAAAATATTTTCTACAGTACTTAAATATTTCGTGGAGAATTATAAAGTTACTTTAGGTTAATTACAACCATATTATTTTTCATATTGTTATAAATTAATAATACTAGACTAATACTAGATATTTAACGATAGGTTGGTGATTAAATATTTCTAGCGTTGAGAATACTTCACTTTTCTAGTTGAACATAAGAAAAATTCAAACAACTAAACGAAAGCAAACAGACTCATTTGCAGAGATTTAAGTGGTCGTAATTAGTTAATGCAGTGTTGAGAAGACCCCATGATACTTACGCTTGTCCAAAATAAGAAAACAAATAAAATTGAGGCGTTTCTCCCCACTTCCCACCAATACACAAGCACCAACTCCCCACCACTCAACAGCCGCCGCTGAAAAATTAAAACTGTCCGACCGCTTCGTGGTTCTTGCCATGACTGTTGTGCCCGAGTGTTATAAACGTTGCAGTTGGGTTTGTTGATAGTGGTTGATTTGATAACACCGATATGGCAACAAAACCAGATTATCAACGACCATACGGTAAGTAGATAAAATTTTATATACATAGATTATATTATCGTAGGTTGCTTGCTTTATTATTCTTTTTAACGCCTGTTTTAATCGCTACTGTTTTGTTTAATTAATTGGTGCAATCTACGGGAAAATACCTACTTCGCTTCCAATAAAATATGCTCATGAAATCATTTCTGTTATTGGATAGCGAGTTTACATTAGATTGATTCATTAGTGGATACATTAGACGAGAGTTTTTTCTATTTTTGGGTTTTTTTCTTAATTTGTATTTTCTATAAATCTAAGTAGTTCAAAAAAGAAATTAAAATTTTGTGATTTGTTTAGTTCCCACCAAAAAAAAAAAGATACCTACAGAGGTTATGTTGTTTCAGTGTGGGTGTTTTGGTTCCATTTTAAATCAAAATTGATTTGAAAATTTTTGTATTCTAATTTTTTCAAAATTGATGACAGCTTAAGAAATAAAAATTTATATACCTATACAAATAGCACTGTTCTCTTCGACAAAGCTCCCATCAAAACAGGCATTGTATTGTATCGAAAATTATTGAATTTTGTTGTTTTTAAAAAGTGAGGTTATATTATAGCATGGCACCCATGTTTGTTATCCACGCAGGTAACCTCAAAATCAGGACAGTTCAAAAATACGGAATTTTGCAAAGAAATGCAACAACTGAATATAAGAAAAGTACTTTAACAGATCAGTTTATCCAGTATCATCCAACATAATACGTGATCGCAGTTGGCTGTCTTTCAAAAACCGTAGATATGATGGTATAGTGGTCCAACTCTGACTTCGTTTTTATGGCACTGCAATCTCAATTACCACAAGTATTAGGAACTCTAGTGAAAATGTAAATAGCCGGGCCATAAATCATCTTAAAGGTTTACGGGCGCATACGGCCCCGTGTAGTGTAGACAGTTGGTCTCTTGATGGTTTATGACCGCTGAATTACTTACGGCAGAGTCCTATTATGGAACACTTAACTCCTTCACGATAGGATACAGTCATAAAAAATTTTGAATGTTAACGTGAAGACTTTGACAACTAAATGACTTTTTAAACAATCGATCAAATACCAAAATTGTTGCCAGAACCTGCTGCGATCACAGATTATGTATCTATGCATGTGTTAAAATGATCGCCGATAGCATACGGCAAAAAATAAAATTATCCCCAAAATTTTACAGATTTTGAACTATTTAAACAGCCGTTAAACGATGTGATTCTGCGTGCTATTTATTTACAAAATGTTTCATTTCAACTGACCTGTCAAAAAGATATTTCAAAACTACCACCTGTTTGGAGATATGTAGTAGTCATGAAATCAAGCTCATTTTGAAATATCATAAATTTGTTGTATCATATCCAACTTTCCCGGAAATGAAACCGGCTTTGGTTTTTTGAACATCACCTCTCTCACCATTTTTTGAGTGCTTCGTTGTTTTGTGCATGCAAAATTTTTCAGTAAACGTGGTTTAAAAATTCCTTCTTAACAATGATCGGAACTTTATTACAAGGTAAGGTGACTGTTGCTGAACAAAAAAGTAAGCATTCTAAGCATTCTAACCAAATTTCTTTAGTTTAAGTGGTTTCAGCCATTATTGAGAGGCAAAAATAATGCCGAAATTATTTTAAAATTTGGTTATTTATTTGATTGTAAAGGTCATGATGAAAACAATAGTCCTGCTATGTCGAAACTTCCACATTTCAAAATAAGTAGTTTATTTTATTAAAGGGCAATAGTTGTCTTCGTATTTTCTTTTCCAAATTTTTAGTTTTTATAATTGACAAATTAACATGAGTATATTTCTACAGAATTATTGTCTCTTATGCAAGTAAACCAAGAGATGTCGATAAACCATTTACTGAAGTAACGGTATAAAGAACTTATTACATATGTATTTTGGATTTGGTTTTTTGTTATTAACTAAAGTAATTTCACAATATATAGGTAAGTTTATGGTGATAGCTAAAAATTAAAAATTTATTCAGTAACAGCAGGTAAAACATAACTCATTAATTGCTAATGTCTCTAGTACAGAATCCCTAATAAAAACATGACACAAAATCATATATCAATGCAACAAAAATTATTTATTAGTAATAGTATTTATTTATACATTCGAAAACGTATACTTACATCCATCATCTTTATTATTCCTAGATAAATTCGACATGAAAAATTATCAGCTGCAAAAGGGATCAAAATATCCACCAATTAAAACACTAAGGGACAGTTTATTCAATATTTTAACTGAGATTAAGTTAATCACTCACATAACGGGGCGTTCTGATTGGCGTACAGTCGGTCACGTGGTACTTTAACGCCGTGGTAACAATTTAATGGCAATTAATAATTAATTGAGCTTCTGTAAACTTACGAGTCTAGTAGAAGATCTGAAATAATTTGGACTTTGTGATCATCCTGAAGGTAAAACTTTCTGAATCTCAGTTTAGTTTCATCTTTGACAATACTACGCGAAACAAAACTAGCGCAAATATTTTCAGTTGATGCAGTTCTTAAAAATTTCCGCAGGACTTCCATTAGTGTTTGATATCTTATAGTAGGTCATGGATTTTTAAAATCAGTTGGTACTTCCTGCGCATCACTGCGCACTGTTTACTTAAAATTCTAATATGTCAAATACCACAATTATTATTGTGGTATTTGACATACTAGAATTTTATTATTTATTTTCATATCACGTTTCAAATTAAATCTGACGGTACTACCAACCTATAAAAAATGCATGATCTATTAGATAACAAACATTAATGAAGAAACGTCCTGAACAATTTTTTCTACCTTTTTATGGCGACAATTTCTTGCAAATTTTGTTTTTATCTTTGTTATAGTTATTCTGTTGCAAGCGTTCGGATTGATGGCCATTTTTCTGCAAAACAAAGTACTTAAATAATCCCATTCGAGATGATAGAATCCTTTGTAGTAGTATTATGCATCAAACCGATTTGATTCATTGCGTTCTATATTACAGGTTCATTTGTCTATCTATAAACGTAAACTAACTATATAATGCAATAAATTGGAATTACTTTAAGACAAATAAAAATAATGCACGTGCCGGGTATTTTTAATGTAACGGGATATTTTAACTAATTAGTATTTGACTATAAGACAAATATTATTATTAAATGAGTAAAACTGAAACATTTACAACATATGATTCGATGAAGTTACACATCTACGTAATTGTACCTATTTTTAAACGATGGTGTGATAAGATGTTTACATAACAAACAGAGGAATAAAGAAAGAGAAATCATAAACGAATTTCTAGAGTTTTAATTAGTATTGCCGATGAGTTGACCTTTTAACCTCTACACTCAGACTTTGTTCTAACAGTTTATTACCAAGCACATATCGATTTTTTTCAATAAACATTTTTTCTGTGCTTCATTACTGGCATGAATTTAGAAGTGTTTTGGCTGTAGAAATACTGATTCATTAGTCAAATTGTGATTAATGGCTGATTAATACTGTTGGATTTTGGAGGAAATAAAATTTGAAAAAGGATCTTTGTGTTCTCGCTCTAGTAGGTATATACCTACTTATTTTTTATGTAGGGCGTTCACTAGGACACAACAGCCCTGACAAGAGTTACAAGTGTTGAAAATAAAATCTAGGTTTTGAAAACAATTATTGATATGAAAACCATGTTTATTTGTTAAAGTTTATAGAACTAAATACCAACATTTGAACAGAAGACATGTATATATTTATAAAAAATAATAATAATACAAAGTTTACATGGTTGTCTAACAAACTTTTAACATGTTCCTTTGAAAGTAGTCACACATGTGTGAAAATCGGGACTTCCCTTGGCTTTGCAGTATTGCAGTATACGAAATGTCACCGTTTCTGTGTGGCATTCACGAATATGCAACTGAAATAAGTTTCGCAGAATAACTTATTGCAATCAGGAAGATATCACGTTTGCAACATTTTTTGGTTGGTGCGGATACATATTTTATTTTTGATTGTGTTGTATGTAACAACGTGTAGGTACTATCCAATACAAAAGTAATATGTTCCCAAAATTTTACATAAATTAGTTGAGCCGTGTTTGAAAGGATGGATAACATAAATTAGTTCAGGTATATTATTTTTACTGATATTCTTTGTAAATTCTTAAAAAAGAACATTATTGACGGAGAAATAATGCCATATTTCGGAGCGTATTTTTCTTTCCCAAAGAATTAACAAATAAATTTTGACTAATATTTCTTAAGTCAACATTAGTTGAATAAAACTTTAGGAAATTGGTTGTGATTTTTTTTTACAACACAAAATTCAAATTAGAGTGGATTAAAAAATTACACTATTCATTCTTTTGAAAGAGATTAATCTATAAATTTTTGGTTATTATTTTATCGTTGTCACAATAATCTTCGGACGGAAAATTTTAAAGTATACAATTGCTTCGATAGGTACACGCGTCCTCACACATAGACAGAGGAAGAAGGCATAAGTATATGATGCATTTCGTACTTGCAACCTGCAAATGTTTAGCGTAAAATTAGATATTTATGATCTTGTTACAATGGTTTTGTTGTATAGTATGGTATGGAACTCTTAATTGGAAATGTAGGTATATTATTATACAGTTCCTGGTTTTTACACCACGAATTCAGAATTGTAAAGTCACATTGAAGAAACTTGAATATATTTCTTAGAAGACGCATTAAAATACTGTCTTCATTTGCAGTTTTTGACTTGATGGTAATATGAATTTCTTTACTTTCTTTACATATATAACTATGCAAAAAAATAGCAAACAATTAAAAAAAAAAGAAACTCGACTTAAAGATAAGGGAAACAATTAAAGGTACCAATTAGGTTCTGGGTATATTTTATTTAATTTAGAAACTTAAAAATAAGAAATAAGTCGTACGATCAAAACTTATCACCATCAGAGACATTAAAGAAATTGTTGGATTTTATTTGAATTTTTTATTGTGTCGAAACTGCGATTGAAACCCACATGAAAATAAATAATCACAATATTAATTTTAAATATTATATATACATTGTTATTAATACTAATAATAATGTATATATTGTATATTACATATTCATTGTTATTAATACAAAGTTGGGGATCACAAATAATAAAACCTCTTTTTAATCTAATGTGTTGAAAAAATTAATACCTGTTGGGTATTTTGTATATATCTATGGTATTTTTGAAAGTTGCATCAATAGTTCTAGAATATTTTAATATAGACATTTTTCATTAAAAATACAGATTACCATTATTCTATAGATATTGCCGACGATTTGAAGATCGTTTCCGTCTTCCTCAGGTGCAATTCTTAGACAAAACTTCATCTGTGTGAGAGATCCGGTGAGACTATCTAGAACATAGGTATATAACTTTATGGCAATTTGTAGTGTCAGAGGGAATACCTACGTGTGAAATTTAATAACGGAAAATAAAAATCTGTTATTAATTCGTTTCTAAATCCCAACAGTGCGATTAGGGTGCCTTCAACAAAATACATTTTTCATTGAAATTAACAACTTTACAATTAACTACGAAAACGATATTTTCCTCTTATCACTAGCGAGTTTCATTGTCATTCTAACGAAAGTTATTTCTTAAATAAATAAATAATTTATAACACGTTAAACGATTTATAAAGTATTGCTTTAAGAACGGAACGAATGTCTTTACTGTGTCATGCTAAAAGTTGTATTTTCTGGACACCCTTGATGCCGCTTATTTTATTTTTTATTCAGTCACTATAGTTTTTTTTACTTCGCTTAAATAAAATTCTCACTGCTTTTCCAAGACCTGTTTATTAATTAATTCGTTCTATGCCCATTCTTAAAAACCGTTTGTCACTGAATAGATAGTTTTTAGGGGGAAAATACTTCTTTACAGTACCAGTGTGGTAAAATAAAATAATAAATTATTTGCATTCTGATTGTAAGATTTATTTGTGGTTAAACTGTTTTAATTCCAGAAGTTCGATGACTTTCAAGTAGTATTTTATTCTGTGATATAATTTTACGAATACCTACTAATAATGCCAAGCATTAAAATATCGCTGCAATATTTCAATAACTGGATGAGTACTATGTAAAAGTATGAAAAACTAGTACAAGCACATGAAAAATATTGTGCATAACATGACATTTATAGCATTTTACCTGTGCGGTTAGTCAAGGTGTTTTTTCATAATTACGCATACCTAATACATTAATATTAATAAAGCGACAGACGAGGAAACTTTATTGTATGTTGAGAAAATTCGATTGATACTACTTAATTTTATAAAAATGGTATTAAATTTCTTGCATTCAAAATTTTCAATAAAAATTTTTCGATTTTTAAGTAACCTAAAATGTTTTGTATCTAAGAATTTTTACTTTAACAACGTTGCAATTAATCGCTTTGTAGTTCCCAAATTTGTTATTTCTGTTTTTAAATTAAATACAATCATGTGCAACACAAAATGTAGCTTTAGGAGTTTCTTTAATATATATGAAAACATATTCACTAAAAATAAAAACTGAAAAACACAAGAAGTAAAAAACTGCAGATCTGTCGGAACAGATAGCATCAGATTTTCATTTTGTGTTAAAAAATATACAACTTTTCGGTAGATTATTTGCAGATTTATTTTATTTTTAAAAGACTTCACCTTAAAATGCGTAAAATTGATCATAAGTTTTAGGTAGGTGCGTTAAAAATGTTAGTCACCATAGTTTTTTAATTTGACGGTGAATAATTTTAACCAAGGCGGGCCAAACACTTGCGATGTGGTACGTAAAATATAGTAATAATAATTAAAACAAACGATTTTGCAGTATTTGAATACTTAATTATGAGTCACTATATTTGTGTTTTGTTTATTATTATTATTTATGCTTTAAAATAATACTGCGCATGGATAAGCTTAACAAATCTTAACGAATCTCTGAACGTCATAATCAATGCAAAGTTAAAATGTTTTATTACTATTGTTTCATATTAAAATGAGGAAACACGTGCATTGTTATCAGAGCAAAATGGCGGTCGAAATTAGATGAAAAAAGTATTGATTATTTTCCGGAGAATTTATCCAAGGAAAAAAATGAAAAACGTCTAGCACACAACGTATCAAAACTGTTTTCTATTAAGTTATTTACGTTTGTGGCTGGCCTTTGTTAAGAACAAATGTTTCGTGGTTTAGTTCGTATTTATGGTTATTTACAACAGTTTGCTTTCTCATATGTAGTTTCCGTTGACTTTGTCAACAATAATTTGATATGGAAATGCGGCGTTGTCTTATTAATTTTTTAATTTTGAAAATTTAAAAATGTAAACCATGTCCTATTTAGAACTACAAATGTTTGTGAGCCCCGCACTTTTTAACAGCGCTCTGAATGAGTAATTAATGGTTTATGTGTCGTTACTGTAAATGTTAAAATCATGACATTTGCGCCAAAAACAGGCATAAATAATTTTTAAAAACAACGTTTTCAGGTGAAATTAGAAGGAGCGTAAGTATGTCAATATTTTCCGAAAATCGCGTGGTGGCAGCGTAGGTGTATTGAAATTTATTAAGAACGAATAGTGAAAACCACAATATATGGGTCAATTGCAACTTGAAACGCGCAGAAAACATACGTGAAACTATAAAGCCACAACGTGTCGTAAAACAAAACAATAGTTTGTTCCAGATTCACGTGATCACTTTAACCACTGCTTTATTATTACGTCACTAGATGGGGGCATTTCCTGTTGCACTGTTCACTCGACGCTCGATCAACATAATTCCTCTTCGTGGTTGTTTCTCCGTTCTGTGGGTGTCGTTCCCATGGGTCGAGTTGTCCCAGAACCGTAGTGAACACCTACAAACTTTACCGTGTACTGACTTGGAGATACCCCGGTAGAGATTGCATTATCGTGGCCCCTTCCCTAAGCAATAGCGAATTCATAGCATTATTATCAAAGTCGTGATAAAATTGTATACACTTCGTCATAATAATAATATCTTAGCGGTGGCGATAATATTGTGATACGTTATCACCTTTGTTATTTTGGTGCATTTTGTGGTGTTATCAAGTACTAGGCTGATAAAGTCATTCATAAGACGCTGTGTAGTATAGTGAGGGTGTTTCCTTGCGCGTCTTATCTTTTCTCGTACGACGTACCTAAATCGCGTGCCATGGCGAAGCGAATATCCAATTTGTCAACCATTTTTGCCACGACTCTTTCCGACGTAGGTAGAATAGTTATGGTGTATTCAAACAATGGACCCACGAGAAATTGTTTGTTTGATGAAGCGTCGACTTAAAATGGTTGTTTGCCAAATATTATCCAGATCGAAAACTAGAAAAGATCACCTGTTTATCTTCAAACAATGTCTAATTATGTGTGTTTAGGCTAGGATCGATTTTGCCACAAAGTTTGCTCGATATTAATAGCTTTGTCGCAAGACACTTCAGCATTTGGATTTGTCGCACCCTCGATTTTTAGTGCTCTTGACAGTTTTGTTACCTACCTCTTATATGATTTTTGTGCATAACATTATTTCCCTCTCGAATTCAAGGCGGCAGTTGGGGTGTAAACTAAATGATCCAATTTATATATTTACTTACTTAGTTTAAGTTAACGACTTTGTCAATAACTAGATACATGCACTGCCTTCATATATCGAAAACCAGCAACAATTTTTAAGTACAACTGGGAGCTTTGCAAGGTAAAGTCGAAAAATGATACATCTTCTGTCCCAAAATATGGTGTTCATTACAGGTTTTACATTAGTCCCAAATTATGGCAGACAAAACTCTCAAAATGAATTTACTATTTACTTATTTACTTATTTATTTATTTAAGTATTTTGCTGAAATTCAGTCAAGAATTACCATTTCCTGGACAGAATCTTTAATTGGAAAGGATTTTAAAGAACTAGTTTCTCTGATGGCTAAAAGCAGTCTTATATTAAAATAATGTTTTGACAATTCAGTTTTTCGGGCACTTTAAAAACAATTCACAATGAGTCAATTGCCCATATTGTAAATACGAACATAGAACCAGGACAGATGAGACAACTGATTAACGTGTCGTCTTCAACTTTCTGTAACTATACGATGTTAGAAACTCAGGGGATTTTTTTCGAAAGATTTTAAGGATTTTTACTTCCTAAGCATAACCTAAGAATAGAGTCTATCGGACCACTGGTTACTTTCATGTTTTCTCGGGGTTTCATGCCCCCCTGGAGTATGAAAAAATTGATCTCCCGTTGCTGTTTGTCTGTCTTCTGAGTCGAGATAAATAGTCCTCAAAACTACCAGGTCGACTGTTGTCAAATTTTATATTTATGTTAGGAACAGTGGGTCGTCTGTTTAATTTCTGACCGAGGTATGAAAACCTTGCCTTAAACACCATGTACATTCGTATACAGGCAGTTATCATTTTTCACCAACATCCGTAAACAGTTTTTTTGTTTTTTGTTTTTTTTTGAAATGTACCATATTTTGGGATACCCACTATTTATAAAAAAAATAATAGCATTTAGTACCTATATTTTGAAACAACATAGTAAATAGTTAATTACCTCATCAGTGTAATATTTTTTGCAAAATGCAAAAGTGATCGCAATTTATACTTTATTCCATGACGTATTGCAGTAAATTCCGAATAATCTGAGAATAGCATAGGTGAGTCATCACCGACTGCGCGGACCTTGATCATCAGTGGTGTCGGTGTTTTACATTTTAAAGAAATATGCGGCAGTTTGTAAAATAAATGATCATTAAACAATTATTTGATAAAACAGCAAAATCAGACCAAAGAAACTCAAAAACACACTAGTAATAATAATCCAAAATGAATAATGATGAACAAATCAACGAAGGTCACTGGTCCAGTTTGAAAGTGGGCTCGACTGGTCGTGTTTTTCTCTTCTATGACGTTGCCAATGACGACATGCTATTCTCTGATTATTCATAGTCTACCAACATCTGAACATGCATCATATAGTATTAAGCCATATCACATACAATACGCCTGTGCTTTTTTTACTCTTTAGTCCGTTTACACGTTACCTAGCCTCTTAACTCAGTTTTGTTGTTTTCTTTCATAATCAAGTGTCTATTTGTCTTATAAAAGTTCTTTTCACGACTAAATTTTTGGAAGCGCTGTTGTCGTTGAGGTGAATTTGATTTTTTTGTTTTGATGAATTATTTGATTGAAATTTATAGGTTTGAAAATTCAATATAAAATTACTCATAGTAATGAGGTCACAAACGAATGATGATGTGGACGTCGCCTCTCAGTAATCGTACTATAATAGGGCCGATTGGGCTACTAGCTACTTTAATGTTTTCTCGACTCTTCATGACTCCTAGAGTACGATAAAATAGATGTATTGTTTTTGTCTGTCTATCCGTTTTTCTTTCTGTCATCTGTGTCGATTTTTTTAAACAGGTAATATTCCAAACTAAAGGACGGATTATTGTCATATTTTGAGAATAGAGTAATTCTGCATCTGTCTATATTTATTTAATAATAATAAAATAACAGTCCTGATAATCCCATTTAGTTATCCAAAATAATATTCATAACGTTGTGTTCCATTGTAACTTAATTAATAAATTTAGTCACCTCCTACGTTTTGACAAGGTGCCTTGCTTTGTGCTTAATTGTCGCATTTTTCGATGTATAAACATAAACAATCAAAGTGAAGTAACTTTTCTGTAGTTGTCATAACCTCTAGAGTTCGAAACAATAGATCTCCCGCTTCCGTCTGTCTCTCTGTCTGCCGACTGTACAGATTTTTATTAGACAGATAATCTCCGAAACTACCCGATCGATTGTCAAATTTTAGTTGCACGCTATGAATATCGTTAATCATCCGAGAAGATAAGAGCACAGCTGCTGAAACGAATAGACAACTGAAACCAAAATACCTATGCACAACATCCAGACCGAAGTACTTTGTATTTGAACTGGAGTGCATGTTCTCAAAAGTTAAAAATTATTCAAGTTATAAAACGTTAGTAGATGATATTACCGAAATATGTATGTCGCTTTTGATCAAATACCAAATATATACTATGTCATGGATTGTAAAGTTTTTTGAATCATCTCTAAAAAGTTAATGATGTCATCGTAAAAATTTATAAATAAATGTATAAATAAATATACTTTGAGGTGTTGTTTGTATGGTTATCTCATTTTTCCAAAATTCTGGGAACATAATAGATACCTACGACCTTCTATTTTAATATCACCATGGAGGAAAAAATATATAGGTAGTACGATTATCAGAGGAAACATGCACGTCTTCTTTCGTCTGTGACGTTACTGTTTTGAGTTTGTTTGTACGGACTTTTCTGACCTACAAATTTCAATCAAAGAATTCATCAAAAATAAAGGATCAAATTCACCTCAATGACAATGTAATACAACAATTCAGGCCTGAAAATGACTATTATAAGAAAAAAACACACTTGATTAGAGAATAACAAAACAGAGCAGCGAGGCGAGGTAACATATAAACGTTCTAAAGTGTGTCTAAACAGCATTACTAACATTATATACCTACATATCTAAAAAAATATGTATATGCTATGTGATTCATGTTTAGATGTTGGTAGTACAATACGTTATCATTTTTAAAACGATGTCGTGTACGTCACCTCTCAGTAATAGCACTTATAGTTACTTGTTATAAATCTATACTTCTATACTTATATTATAAAGCTGAAGAATTTGTTTGGTTGAACGCGCTAATCTCAGACACTACTGGTTTGAATTCAAAAAAATCTTTTTGTGTTGGATAGTCCATTTATCGAGGAAGGCTTTCGGCTAATAACATCACGCTACGATAGAATCTAATATAAAATTCTCGTGTCACAGTGTTTGTAACCGAACTCCTCAGAAACGGCTTGACGGATTTTTATGAATTTTTTTGTGTATATTCGGTAGGTTTGAGAATAGGTCGTAAACTATTTTTTATACCCCTAAGTGATAAGGGTGGCCCACCAAATTTTTTTTTTATTTTTTGGACATTTTTTATTTTTATTTTTTTAAGATTTGTCATCAAAAAATACATATAACCCTAAATTTTCACTCTTCTGCCACCAACCTCCATTTTTTAATAACGATATGAGTATCTTTATTTTCATTCACAGATGCGCAATAGGGTTGCAAGATGGCTATTGAATATAATCATTGTCGTACGATAAATTTTTAAGTATAATTTATAATTTCATTTAATTATATTTATATGTATTTATTTTAATTTAATTTTTTATTTAACTACCAAAATATTCACTATAAATGCCAAAACAACGTTTTTTGGGTCGGCTAGTATTATATATTCATCCGTCCATGGTCGTCATAAACAAAACAGTGTCTGCAAAGTAATCCAATTTAACTGAGAAACCGGATTTCTCTTACTGCAGAGAGGTTCTGTTTAAATAATTTTAGACTAAATTTTACTTCCCGAGCATACGCTAAGGAAGTATTGTAATAGGGTCCATCACGAATGGCTACTTTCGCGTTTTCTCGACGTTTCGTGACCCCAACAGTATGAAAAATATGTTTTGCGTTTCCGTCTGTCTGTCGTCTGTATCGATTTTTATTAGATAGATAATCTTCAAAACCATTCGATCAGTTGTTGCCAATTGTATGCCATGTATATCGTGTAGAGTAAAACGCTAACCAAAATTTTTTGAATCATCCCCACCAACAGTGGGATAACATCATCTCCAAAACTTACAATAATAAATGTTATTTAAATTTTATAGAATGACATACTCCTGTACTTGTTTATGAATTCGTATTGAGTTTTTATAACAGATATCCTTATTTTTGGAAAAAAATCAAAATGGTATAACAACATTTTGCAGTTTAACTTTGAAACTGTAAACCAGAGTGCTCTGAAATCTTGCAAACGTT